CTCACAAACAGATGTTTCATTCAGTTTAAACTGTGAACTCTCACATGCATCTACATCTTGTGTAATCCATTTAGCATGGGCTTCCAAGCCTGTCTATCTCTTCCTTACCAGAGGTGAAAGCACAGCTCTTCCATAGAAGTGGATGACAGAGCGAGCCTTCAGGGAACATGATGGCTCGCATGTAGTCTTCTTGAATTTCCCCTCCTCCTGCAATAATGCCAGACTCCGCAGACAGAACTCCTCATAGCTTTCCATCTCTGGACACCCGCACATCCACACTCTGAGTAGGACACACACACCATGTAGCCTCGTGGCCCAGCTGTTAAATTAAATGGAGAGCGAGAGATTAAAAGGGAGGGTCCGTGTGAGGCTGCACTACACTGGTGTTTGACTGACGAGCCGAAACCATGTGGGTAAATGTGACAAATCACCTACAACAATAGCCAGTCTGTCTGTCCTCAGTGATTTTATCACACTCATCACATTCCTGCCATTCCTTTGCTTTCTGTCATACTTTGCTGGTGCCTGTCTTCCGTTTCCATGTTTTGTGGAAATGCAAAAGGGACTCGTGTGTCTGATCAATACGGTTTCTATTTCTGAAAATGTCTGTCAGCAAATGACAGTAGTCTGCAGACTACTCACAGACAGGTAGGGCGTTTGCGTAAGCAGACAGCTCCTGTGTGGATTCAATTAAAACAATGTGCCTTTGCAATAAGCGTGAGTGTCACTGGCTCTATGCAGCATATCTAATCTACTGGACAGGTTTGAATTCAACCAGCAGGTCCTAATGATGCTGCTGCTGGTCTTCAGACGCCTAATTACACTAGCCAATCCACGCTTGTTCTTCCATCCGGCAGAGCAGAGGTGGGGATCGTTTTCTTTGTGTATCTGGTATTACAGAGAAAGCTTAATTTCGGCAGCTTTTATGTTAATATTTAAGCATTATCCAGTTTTGCTGTCTTTGGAAGCTAAAAAAGACGTCTTAGTGCAGATACCCCCTGCAGAATGACAGCGGATACCCGGCGCTTATTCTTACCTACTCAGTGGAGAAACACTAATATCGCCCTCCTGTCTTCCAGCAGGGACTGTCAGACACGGACAGATGTCGCAGGGAAACACAAACGGGAGGCTTTATCGGTGAGACTCACGTCTCTCTCCTCAATCTCGGTTCGATCATCTTCATCACCATGCTCAACTCTTCCGGGCTCCAACAGCGCCTCCTAGCAACAGCACGCGGGCCACGTTCCAATCTGATCCCCCGAGCAAGTCAAAGGCTCTCGTTCCAATAAGCTCAATGCCACATGCCCTCTTTTCCCCTTCATTTCTCAGTGAATGCAATAGAATTAGGCTATAGCCTAGCAGGGCTACTTTATCACACGCTCTTTGTTTTACTATGTTGTTATCTGCTCATAGCCTCGAGTTAATAGTGCTCAAGAGGATAACGAGTTCTTGGCAAATGAGTCTACATAAATATCATTAATATGATCTGCTTGCAGCTATTCTCTACTGTGTTAAACAAATCTCAGTTTATATAATTAAAGTATAAAGTATATAATTTATTTATTTATTGTTATGAGTGATTAGACGAATTATTTAATGTGCCAAGTATTAAAGAAACAGGATGATCTTGGGGGAAAATAATGTAATTTATGTACCACCATCCTTACTGTACATTGTGCAGCGTGTTTTGTAGTCTGAAACTTTATGAATGAATGAATTTATGTAATTTAAGTCCTATTTTAATCGTCCTCCTCTGCAAGACAACCACTAAATATGAAGTGACAAAACAGGTGCGCCTTCTAGTAATGTGTACAACAAATTTCTCACATCTTACAACTAATTATGCGCATATAAAAGGGGTGGGAGCAAAGAAGATGCTCTGTTGTGTGTATTACACAGAATACACTGTCCTCCACATAAAATAAAATATGTTTATGGATGTTACATATGCATTAAAAACTGTAAGACTGCAAAGGTCAGTGCATAGGTTGTCATAGCTAAAGGTAAACAGCAAAATCATCAGATGAGTTGAGTCCTTCATCAACAGATGGCAGTTAGCGGTGACTGTACTGAGGATGTAAAAGAATACAAGTACTTAGGGACAGTGATTGAAGAAAAACTGGCAGGATTCAAAAGCTAGATTACAATGATTATACTTCAAGAGGAGTTTGAGACAGACATACGCTGGGTCTTTTTTTTTTTTTTGCAGAGAGCATTCTAACTTCTTGTTTTATTGCATGGTATTTTTCACTGTCTGTAGTTAACAAGAACAAACTGAGTAGGATTACAAACATGGACAGAAAGATTTGAGGTCAGCTACAACACAGTACGATTCACCTTTGGGAGTCCTGAGTGGTGGATAAGGGATGATGTATCTTTAGCAATGTGTCACACCTTCTTCATCGTGAACACACCTTGCTAACATCATGACAGAAGTACAGGGTACCACTTTTGTATGTATCGTGTGCCCAGAGGACTTTTATACCTTGTAGTATGGTAAATGGACTGGTTCTTATATAGCGCTTTTTTACTCTGAGCACTCAAAGCACTTTATACAACTTGTACATTCACAGAAGCACTTTTTCCTATACTGTTCCTAAGTGCTTCATATCAGACATTCACACCTCCAATAGATGCATCAGAGAGCACCATGAGGTTAGTATTTGCCCAAGGATATTTGGCATGGAGCAGACTGGGATCGAACCACCAACCTTCCGGTTAGTAGGTTACCTGAGCCACCTGAGTTACAGCCATCCCAAGGTAACGCTGCTGAACACAGCTGATATTACATGGGTGTGATTTGCACACAGCTGTGGTTTATTTTTACTATTACTTATTGTTAATACCTTGAATTTCTGTAACTATGAAGTCTTTATTGTTGTGGTTGTATTCGCCTGGCCTGGATTTTTGGTGTCCAAAAGGCAAACTACTTTTCTGAAGAAGATATTGAATCTGCACACTTGTGATGAAATTGCTTATAGTGCAATAATACATCCTTATGTCTTCCTTTGTGTCCCACTTTTATTTTTCATTTTTTGGAGTTTTGCATTTTTCTATGAATTTTCTGAAAGAAATGCATTAGAAATTGTTGTTGTTTTAATGGTTAGTAACATCCCAAAGAATAATAAAGAAGAAAAGAATGAAGACAAGCGGGAGCACCTAAAAAATGTTTTATAATTCCTATTGTAAACAGGTGACTGCAAATGGCAAAGAATAGATTCACTTTCCAGCAGCCAACAGACCTCGTATTATCTTAATAAAGACATAGGAAAACAGGCTAAATCACTTCAGATGCACTTTGGAAGTTCCTGCTTCTGTCAGAGAAAAGTGAGGGCTTCCCTAAGGCTTGAAATATAAACTTCCCCTTTATCAATTATATAATTTGTTCATTGATGAATATACACTCCTTATCTGAGGCTGAATAAATTTTTTAGAAAAGTAACAACTTAACACCGCATAAGGTATAATTTAAAGACTGAATTATTGGTTTATGTTTTTTTAGTGATTTATTTATTTTACTGATGTCCAGAATTTACAGTAGTAAACAGTAAATGATGCTGAAATTCTCAGAGTTCATCTCCTGTGTGCACAGGGGAACCTGAATGTATCGGCTGAGCAATGCGAACATTTTCCTTGTTGTCCCAAAGTAAAGCATCAATGTCACTTTCAGTAAAAGCGCCTTTAGAATCCTGCCACAAAAGCAAAATGTTAAGAGTAAATTTGTATACTTGAAAAACATGAAGTTCACGTTTCACAACTGGCTACTCGCTCACTGACAACTTACCTCAAAAGTCTGGCGTTTAACCCCCACACATGAGTTGGACTGCTCATAACACAGAGCTATATCCAGATTCTTCGGCTCTTTGTTCAAAAGAGCTTCATAGAACTGGTCACGGTGAGACTCTGAATGGCAAATCCACAATAAGCTCTTGAAAACAAGATAAATTACTTGACATATCTGATGTTACCTTACCTAACAAGTGTCTGCAGGCTGATGTCAGTTTGTCCTTGGTGACATGGTGACTGTGAGGCAGAGGTTTCTCACACAACGCCCCACTGATGAGGCGTTTAACAACTGTGTTTCTGTTCTTAACTGGGACTTCCTTGATGGATTTCTCAAGCTCTGTAAGATATTTATAGACTGTGACTTGCTTTCCCCTTTCCTTTTGTCTTTTGTTTTCTATTTGTATTCCTGGCTATCCCATTTGTTAGATTGTGCTACTGGGTTATCAGAAACCATTAATAAAAAAGCTCTTAGCCATAATGATTTATTGTCCAACATACCTTGTGCCACTGTTAAACAAGTCTCGCAGTAGGTGTCTGTTAATAAAAAAACAGTTAACAGAGGCACTCTCCAGCAGAAACCGAACTACATATTATCTGATGACTGAGGAAACCAAGGTGACTGTAGTGTTTACTTACAGTGATCTATCTCTTCAGGCTGCACAGGAAGAAGAAGGCACACAAACAGCACAAAAATAGCAATTTTCATGGTGACTGTACACCAAACATGTAAACTGTGAACACTGTAGCAGCTATCTGCACACTACGAAACAGACAAGAAGAAGTCAACTGCACCCAGCTGTCTTCCCTTTCATAAAATGTTGTCACGTGATCTTAGAGACAATGGGATCACATTACCACCATTCCACAAGTGACAGGTGTCTTGTTTTTCAGGTTTTCCTATTCTAAAAATATTGCCCGGAGTCTTCACTCTGCTCTGGATAGGGGTCTGTGAAGAACACAGTTTAGCATAGGCTTGATAAATGCATGCAATATTAAATGCCAAAAGATGAATTAAGAGGTACAGTACTTTTAATAACAGGTGTGGGTTGGGTGCATTTGTTCATTGATCATTTGCTATTCATGTTTTTATGATTTTTTTTTACAACAAAAAGAGTAAATTAAACTCTATTAAAAAATTAGTTTCAACACTGATAGAAAATGCTAATTATAAGTCTTTGCACCCAGAGACAGGATTAGAAATGAAGAGACAAAGTTAGGATTGGACATGCATAGAGAAGGAATAGTGGATAAAAATAAGATAAGTGAATTTGTTCCATGGTTGGGAAATTCATGTTATTACAGCAGCAAAATGAATAGAGCAGGAATAAAAAAAAATAACCTATTTGAATAATACTATACCTCAGTGGAGACAAATGGACACTTTCCAT